TTTTTTCCTGAAAGGAGCTATACTGTGGCTTTAGTTCATAATGAGTTTTTGGTTAGACAGTCCTGGATTTCCCACTGAGACGTTTCACCAAATGGAATGCCTTCTTGGATGCCATGGGGACCTTCACAGGGTTTTGCTGCAGCCCCTGCCTCCAGGCAGGGGCTTCCCTGTGAGTGGAGGGGCAGGATGGCCTGGCTATGGAGAGGTTGTTCCCTGGACCCAGGCCACCTGGGTTCGGAGCCCAGTTTCATTAAGTGCTGGCTAGGTGACCAAGCTTCTCCTTTTTGTGTCTTGCCTCCTTCACCTGTCTACTGCAGAGGATGGCTCAAGTCCGTGTAAAGTGCCTGGAATGGTGCCTGGCAAAGAGTGTTAGCTGTTACCTTTCTAAAAAGGTGGTGCTCCCTTGTCTTTATGCAGATGCCACCGTTGACAGGGCAAGGGACAGACAGCCTTAGAGGAACTCAACACATTTTTCCAAAGAAGTCATACAAATGGCCAACAGGTACATGAAAAGGTGCTTAACATCGCTAATCATCAGGGAAACGCAAATCAAAACCCCAATGAGCCATCGCTTGTTAGAACGCTTGTTAGAAGACAAGATATAACAGTGTTGGTGAGGATGTGGAGAAAAGGGAACCCTTGTGCACTGTGGGTGGGAATATAAATTGGTGCAGCCAATATGGAAACCAGTATGGAGGCTCCTCAAAAAATTGAAAATAGAATTACCATATGATCCAGCAATTCCGCTTCTTGGTATATATCCAAAGGAAATGAAAGCAGTTATCTGGAAGAGTTATCTGCCTCCTATGTTCACTGAAGCATTATTTACAATTGTTTGTTCTTAATCACCGGACGTAGCTAAAGTATTATGGAAGGAGTGGGCGAGAGGGTTATGTGCCCAATGATGCCTTTAGGTTTCTCCTGGGACCCTCGCTGCCTCTCTAAGTAGCAGGGGCTAGCCTCTTTTCTCTGGGCAGATTGGTTCCCAGAGACTATTTAGTGCAACTCTGACAGATGTTAAGAAAAATTACCTAAAATTCAGAAATAAGGCCAAGAATGTGCAGTGTGTCCTTTCAAAGTCGTTTTTGAGCATTGTTCAACCAGCCCACCTGAGGATTTTTTAATATCTAGGGGAATGTTCTTTTGTTCGACTTTGCTATTGACAATTAATTACGGGCTCAGACTGAAGTCATATGTCAACCTGTAGATCTTATCTAGTAGAGATGCAAATAATTTCTACTTAGTAGAAAAGATAACCTGAAAGATTATGATTTCCTTATTCCCCTGTAGGACAATAATCAGTTTGTATCTAATCCAGGAATCTTGGTCTCTTATTCCTGTTTAAATGCCCATAAATACCTTGTTTTTTAAAATTCTCTTTGAACCAGCTCTGCCATCTGACTTGCTCCTCTATTGATGAGGTAACAGTCTTTGAGATGTGTTCCTTCTATATTTGTATGAGCTGCATTTTTAACTTTTTGAAAATTACTTTGATGGTGATAACGGGTATATTTTTTTCCAAGTTTCAAATAATAAGCTACCACATTACAAAAAAACTCACGTTTATGTATCTTATAGTGTAGTGTATAAAGTGCTTTCCAATACACATTTTGATCATATTTGGACCTTGAATCTCGAGATTGCTCTGTGAGGAAGTGGAGCAGATGGGTTAAGTCCCACTTAACAGCTAAGGGAGCTTAGACTCAGATTCAGGAGGGAGGTGACTTGTCCCCCAGGCCACTGTCCCCCAGGCAGTACCAGCAGGCTCCAGAGTGAAGCCAGGGGCGTAGGCTGGTTCCCCGTCCTGTCTCTGCCTTGCACACCTGCCTATCCTGGGAAATCTGGTTAAAATGAACAGCAAGAACAGACCCTGCGTGGAAGGACACCCAGGTGGGGGCAGCTGGACGTGGTGTTGAAAGGGGGGCCTTCTCTGGTAGCTTTGCTCGTGTGTATGAGCTACAGTCTGTGGTGCCACCAGCCCCTCCTCCTCCCCTGGCAGCAGCAGCTCGCTCCTCATGGACAAGGGCTCCCCCACCCTGAGTCCCCAGACCCCTGGGGGCTGTCTTTCAATGTAGTAATAGGAGGCCCCGAGTGATTAGCAATATTTCAGAAAGCTTAAGGGAGATCATACATCTCCCTGTGACAGGGCTGCCCAGACTAAATGAAATGTCGTTTCTCTGCTTTTGGCTGGAATTCCATCAGCTCAGTCTGGCTGCACTGCTTGTCTTGGGCCGATCAGGAGCCCTGATTGGACCTTATATGCATCCTTGACAAATAAAAATGAATTATTACTTAATAAGTGCAATTGGTTTGGCAGATACAGCCTTTCAGAGCGTGGCTCCCTGGAGCTCCAAAGAGCCTGACAAAAGGGGTTCTCAGTGGCACAGCGTGGGGACTTGCTGGCTCACCCAGGGCCACCTCTGGCTGGGGCCCCTCTCTGAGGAAACAGAGAATGGTGGCTCTGGGACACCTGACACGTCAGCCTGAGTCTGAGACCTTGACCCGGGGCAAAGCTCTGCTCTGAATGTGACAGACACTGAGTACTGGGTGTTCATTTCACCCGGGGAAAACGCGAGGAGCTGGAGAGCTGGCGTGGTAGCGGGGCACTGTGACATCGGATAAGTGTCAGGACTTCAGATGCCTCTTGAATGCTGGTTTCTTCATCTCTGAAAAAAGGTACCATGAAACCTATTCTGCTGCCCTCCCAGGAACATTATAAGGAATCAGTAACAGCAGGGGCACCTATGAGAGACACTAGGTTCCAAGCACCGTGATGTTCTCATTTACCCCACAGTAGCCCTTGAGAGCGGCACTCTTATTTCCATTTGACTGAAGCTGAGGGTATAAGCGACTTGTTTAAGGTCACAAAGTTCAATTGAGAAGTGCCGAAGTCAGTGAGCCAGTGTAGCATCGTGGTTACTGGAAGGCAGGGGTGTCACACCTGGTCTGGATCCTGGCTCTCCCTCTCTCTAGCCATGTACTCTGGGTAAGTTAAACCTTGACGAGTCTCAATTCCTCATCTGCAAAATGAGGGTCATGATTGTACCTCCTTTTAGGGCTGTTAATAAGAATGTCAGCTATTGTTACTAGCGTAGTTATTCTTGACGGTTCATTTTGGGGCCAATTATGATCACTTGGGATTCAGAGGAGACGAATGGGGTTCGGATGAGCATCAGAGGTACAAACCATGGTATCTCAGAAGAACACAGGTCTTACTCATGTTGAAGGCAGAGTCCTATATTCACATTTGGCCTGTTATAGGTGAGTGGATGCATAGTAGAACCAGTCTATGCTATGTAACTTATACCTCAATAAAGCTGTTTAACAAAATAGAGCCAGTCCCTGCCATCTTGGGAGCCTATGATAGTGGGCTAGATGGCCATTAATCAAATAATGGCATAGATAGTGTACTAATACCATGAAAGAAAAGTATAGCATACTATGAGAATTTGTGGCAGGAGAAGCTCATCTGCTCTGGGTGGTAAGGGAAGGCTTCCCCAGGGAGGTAATGCTGAGCTGGGATGGGAAGGAAGAGAGGAGTGAGTGAGCCACGTGAAGGGGAGATGGGAGGAATGCTCCTGGCAGAGGGATGTCATGTGCAAAGGCCCTGAGGTAGGAAGGCACAGGGAGTACTGGAGGAGAGAGAGCAAATGTGGCTGGAGTGTCAGTGTGGTGCAAGATGAGACCAGGGAGGGAGGCTGGGCCTGGTTGTGCAGGACTTTGTAGGCCAAGGAAAGGAGTTGAGTCTTTATCCTAGTATCCCACCCTGTGTTCCCCACACCATGGGCCCTGGATCCTCTCCTTTCGCTGGGATGGGTTTGTTAGTGACCATGGGATGCAGCTGAGGCTGAGAGGAATGCCAAGGGCAGTGTGTGTCCTGGGGCATTAGCTTTCTGAGTTGAGCATCTCTTTGTCCCATGGAAACCCGTCAGCAGACCATCTGTGGGCCCAGGTCTGGCTCTATTCAGCAGCTGTTCCCTAGCTGGGAAGAGGCTTTTAGCTCTAATAAAAAGGGAGTAGAGATAAGAAGACCGCTCGGCAGAGAGAGCAGCAGTGACAGGATGATTTAAATGGCCTCTCCAGTGTCATTTCTTCTGTGCAGACATCATAAATCAGATTAGCATTGGGCTCTGGTGGGGAGGGGAGGGGAGAAAGGGGCCTGCAGGGAGAGGGGAAAAGGGGTTGTGACTCTGGGTCTGCCTGGGACTGGCCTGGAGCTGGAGGGGCAGCCCCAGAGGGTGATGGGGTACCTGTTCCTGGTCCTCAGTCCCCTAGTCTTGCGTGACCCCTTCCTGCACCGCAGCTTTCCAGCCCATATTTAGCTTTGGGGGGAAAATGAAGAGGGACTGATAAGAGACTAGGGAAGAGAAAAGTGGAGGAAGAGTGGAGGGGCAGGTGAGGGAGGTGGGAGTTACAGCCATCAGGAAAACCAGAAGCAGAGGTTCTTCTAGCTTGCTATGCATTCAAATCACTGTGGGAACTTTAAAAAATATACTGATGCCTGGGTACCACCCCCAACATTTCTGAGTTCCAGTTGATCCTATTGTGCAGTTAAAGTTAAGAAGAACTGGGTTAGGGCCGGCCCCGTGGCTTAGCGGTTAAGTGCGCGCGCTCCGCTACTGGCAGCCCGGGTTCGGATCCCGGGCGCGCACCAACGCACCGCTTCTCCGGCCATGCTGAGGCCGTGTCCCACATACAGCAGCTAGAAGGATGTGCAGCTATGACATACAACTATCTACGGGGCTTTGGGGGAAAAATAAATAAATAAAATTATAAAAAAAAACAAAAAGAAAAATAAAAGAAGAACTGGGTTAGAGCTTAGCTTCTATCTTAAACTCAAGAACACGCACTCTCAAACCATCACTTCCACCGTGACTGCTCATGCCCACTTGGTCCCTCTGGCCTTCCTTTTGAAAGTGACCAGATCGAGGGACCAGAGTAGAAGTCTCTGAGACAGGTATTAATGTGGCACAACCCCACCCGCCTCCCTTCTCTTTCAGATCTCGCGCAACCTGGGCAAGATGTACAGTGAGATGATCTTTGTCAACGGCTTTGTGCACTGCGACCCCCACCCGGGCAATGTGCTGGTGCGGAAGCGCCCAGGCACGGGAAAGGCAGAGATTGTCCTGTTGGACCACGGGCTCTACCAGGTAGGAGAGGCCTTTCCCACCCAGCTGGCCCCAGGGTCTGGTGCTGCCTGGGCTCAGAGCCTGCTGAACTCCTCTATCGGCCATAAAAATGGGAGGCAGAGAGCCAAGGTAGCTGGAGAGGGTCCTTCCCTACCCCAGAGATGTCGTTTTGTGTAAGTCACAGTCCTATAAGTCCAAGCTCAGCTTCCTTCCTGATAACATGAGGTTGCTCACACCTCCTTTACAGGCTGCTGTGAGGAGAAGATGGGAATGTGCCTGGATGTGTGAAAATGCTTTTTGGCTGTAAAAAACCCTGCTTCCCAGGGAAGCCCAGGCTAGGCAAGATCCTGGGGTGTGAGCTGACTGCAGCTGAGCTGGGACTTCAGGGGAAGGGGTAACAGCCCCAGTGAGGATGTAAAATGTAGTGGGAACGGGGGCTGGGAACTGACAGGGGCTGGAGGGCCCCAGACTCTGTCCTCTGGAACCTGGGATGCAGAGCTGGTTCGGATGAGCCACGAGTTCCTGCCTGGAAGTTGGGAAGTTCACGCCAATCATGGTACCCAGAGCCTGGCTTGATTCCAGGAGGTAGATGGTCTCGGGGAGGTTTCCTGGATGGTCTCCTGCTCCTCCCCTCAGGGCCCTGATCCCATATCCCAAAATCTTGGCCTCCTTTGAAAGGCTCAGTGATATTGGGCGCGTTAGTTTAAGGTAGGCTAGCTGCTGTCACATACAGCCCCCAAACGAATGATGGCCCAGACACAGCAGACGTCTCATTGCTTCTCATGTACTAGTCCTGGGTGGGTGGAGGAGTCTGAAGGCAGGGGCTGACCAAGTCTCTGCCTCCCAGGCCTCCCTGGGGCTGGTCCTGCCATCCCCCAGCAGCAAGGGTGAGGGTTCGGAGAGCATGCGTGGGAAAATGTTCGTGGGCCAGGCCTGGAGGTGGAGCTTCTGCCACATTCCATGGGTCGAAGCTCAGGCAAAGGGCCACATCTAACTAGGAAGGAGGCGGGCATGTGATTTTGGTGGGGAGTGGGTAGTCTCTGCCACTCAGGACCAAGGCAGGCCGAATAGTAGCTTTGAACTTGGACCTTCAGGGATGGTTGAACTTTGGGGGAGAAGCAGACATTTTGCAGGAGCCACGGTCTTCATCCCCCTCCTCCACAGTGGTCACACCAGCCAGGGGCTAGGTCTTTCGTGGGCAGAGGAGGCTCAGGTCCTGCCTCGGCTGCCCCCGCCGTAGGTGCTCACGGAAGAGTTCCGCCTGGATTACTGCCACCTCTGGCAGTCGCTGATCTGGACTGACATGAAGAGAGTGAAGAAATACAGCCAGCGCCTGGGAGCCGGGGATCTCTATCCACTGTTTGCCTGCATGCTGACGGCCCGGTCGTGGGACTCGGTCAACAGGGGCATCGGCCAAGCTCCAGTCACCGCCACTGAGGTGGGTGGCCCCCTCCTGGCCCTGTCTTCCCCCGCTGAAGGGGCAGGGCCAGGGCCAGGGATGGCCTTTGGACGCCTTCCAACCCACTGTCTGAGGTTGTCGACTGGTGGGCTGTGGAGGTGGTGTGGTGGGCAGGATTGGAGATATACTGGATGGGAAGGAAGGAGAGGAGGAGAAAGAGTGTCCCTGGATGGAAGGAGGGAAAGGGAACCACATCCCACTGTCTCCCTCCTGGCCTATCACCCCGGGGTATAAACAGGTTGTGTTAACTGTATAGTCCAGACTTCTGTGGCTTTCGCTCCAACCTGCTCACATAAGATTTCAGGCTTCCACCAAGTCCTGCCCCAGAACTTCTGGGAATCCCCAAGGACTGTCTCATAAGTAAGTCTGGCACCACTTCTGCTGTCTCCTGCTGGGCACCGTCTCCCACCGCATGGTTCCTCTAGGGCACCCTACTGGGGAGAGAGTCAATTCCTCATGTCATACTCGAGCAGTGCTGCTTGAAACAGCCTTTTTTGGTCTTTCTTTGTAGCTCATTTCTCCACTGGATCGAGACAAGATTCCCATGGAGTCTGAGCTGAGACTGATCCTAGAAACACCTTCTCCTCGTACTCATCCTCACCTCTGTCCCCACCACAGGGACTTATGGTGTGGCTCACTCTTCCCGGCTCAGAGTGAGCTCCCTCCCAGGCTTCTCAGTCCCTCATGGAATTGACTTCTGTCTTCCCAGTCTGTCAGTGTGTGAGACACATGCAGACTCACCCGTATCCATGTGGGGACAGGCTCGGGCTCAGCTGAGGCCACTGCTCACCACAAGGGACAGGGTCCTGCTTGTACAGTCAGAAAGCCCTGGGTTCTAGTTCCAGCACCTGCTCGTCCTGGTGGCATGACCTTGGATAGTTCTTGTCACCTCTTTGAGCTTCAGGGTCGTCCCCTGCAAGCTGCCTTATGATAGGGGGCTTTAGGAATGGCTGGATCCAGAATCTCAAATGATGTCGCCAAAGGGGCTACCTCTTGCCATATTTTGGTTCTGCCTTCCTCCAAATTGACATCATTCCCCAGCAAGCTTGATGGCAGAGATGACCAGCAGCCGCCCCAGCCTTGCATAGCTGTAAGGCTCATCATCTCAGAAGAAGAGAGACAATCTCCTTCCTTTATTGAATAGGAGTGATAATTTCTGCTGTATTGATAATGAACGTAAAATATCTCCCCATACTTCCTGAAGTTTGTTCATTGAACAAAAATTTGTTTGGTCCTATGCTGAGGACCCACTGATGAACAGACAGAGAGGCCTTCCGTGTATTTGCAGTGTGGTTGAGGGAGACAGACAGTACACAAATGAACAAGCACGTAAATGGAATAACTGCAGGTTGTAGGTACGAGGGAGGAAACAAGCAGGGTGCTGTGACCGTGAGTAATGGGGGTGCTGTAGATTAGGTGCTCAGAGAGGGTCTTGCTGAGGAGTTGACATTTAATCTGAGGCCTGAAGGACAAGAAAGGCACCAGTCACAGGAAGAGCTTGCAGAAAGCATTCCAGGCAGAGGGAACAGGAGGTGCTAAGGCCAGGGGAAGAAAGAGTTTGGTACGGTCTGGAGTGTGGAGAGGTAAGTATGGAATGGGGAGAATTTGGAGTGCTGGGCAGGGAAAGCATCATTCATAAGCCATGGGAAGAAGTTAGGATTAATTCTCAGTACAAAGCAAAGCCTTTGACAGGTTTTAAGCAGGAGAAGGACGTACTCAGCCTTGCTATTTTAAGTATCTCTCTGGAGTGGGCAAGATGAGCAGAGAGCAATCAGTTAGGAGGCTGGGCCAGGGCTCCAGGTGGAGGGATGTTGGGGGTTCAGACTATGCTAGTGGCGGTGGAGGTGGAAGGAAGCAGATGGAGCCAGGGTGTATTTTGGATGTGAGATTGAGAGGCCTTTCTGTTGGCTTGGATGTGGAGAGGAGGATAAGGGAGGAGTCAAAGTTGCATCATAGCTTTTGGGGGTGAGTTATAGGGTGGGGGTGGTGCCACTTCCTGGCAAAGGGAAGACTGTGGGAAGGATGTATGTGGAGTGGGGGTCGTCAGTAGTTCTCTTGAACATTCAGATAGAAGTGTCATGGGCAGTCAAGCTGGAGCTCAAAGAAGAGGTCCAGGATCGAGATATAAACTGGGGAATCCTCAGTGTGTAGATGGTATTTAAAGCCACAAGATGGACAAGATCACATGGCACACAGTAGGTCCTCAGTAAATGATATCTTTTTTATTAAGTTAGAATTTTATTTTTGCATTCTTATTCATTCATAAAGACCCAGCATAAATGCTACTGTATTAGTCTGCTTGGGTTGCCATATAGAATATCACTGACTGGTTGGCCTAATCAACAGAAATTTATTTTCTCAAGTTCTAGAGGCTGGAAGTCCAAGATCAAGGTGTCAGCAGGGTTGGTTTCTGGTGAAGCCTCTCTTCCTGGCTTGCAGACGGCCGCCTTCTCACTGTGTCCTCATGTGGCCTTTCCTCTGTGTATACACACTCCTGGGGTCTCTGCCTCTTCTTATAAGGACATCTGTCCTGTTGGATTAGGGCCCCATCCTTATTAATGCACTTAACTTGAATTACCTCCTTAAAGGCCCTGTCTCCAAGTACAGTCACACTGGGGTTAGAACTTCAACACAGGGATTTGGGGGGCGACACAATTCAGTCCATAGCACTGGCCCCAGAAGGTTCTCTTCATCACCTTTGCCAAAAGTGATCCCTTAATACTTGTATCACTCATGTGCGAGCACCTTACACTCCCTTGCATGGTAGTGATTTGTATGCTTATATGAACTCTCTAACTAGTTGGTGAGTTCCTGGAGGGCAGGAATCCTGTCTTGTACATCTTTCTATAAGGTCCTGCAGTCCTGGTGTAGTAGAGAGGTGTTTGTGTAGGTTCTGGGGACACGGACTCCATTTGCTCACTTTGGACAAAAACCCAGAGAGAGAATAAACTTAGCCACTCCAGGCCATCCCACTCTCTGAGATGTGAGGGCTCAGTTTTTCTGAGTCCTAGTCTTATTGAGAATTAGGGGAACCTCCAACATTGTATCAGGTAGGATGTTTTCCTAACTAAAAGTGGCTTAAACCATTAGGAATTTGTTCTCTCTGTAACAAGAAGCCTGGAGATGGGTGGGTCCAGGTTGGTTAATTGAGCAGATCAGTGATCTCAGGGCTCCAGGCTGACCCCTCTGTGATTCTCTTGGCTTCCCTCTCATGAGTCCAAGATGGCTGCACCAGTTCCAAGACTTACATCTTTATTCTGTGGTGCCCAGAGGTGGGAATAAGGGGCTATTTCTTCTCACATATCATTTCTTAAGAGCGAGAAAACTTTTCCCAGAAGTCCTCCAACAGACCCTCCTCGTATCTCATTGGCCAGAATCGTGTCACATGTCCACGCCTAAACCAATCACTTGGCAGAGGCATTGAGCTCAGAGCTGACATTGGCAGAGGTCAACCAAGATTCCTCCTGGGGCTAGCGAGAGGCTTTGCCTCCCTGAAGAGCACAGCCCCAAGGGGTCCAGTGAGCAAAAATGGGGTTCTTTTAACAAAGGAGACAGGGGTGATGGCTGTTGGGCAGGCACCCAGTGGGGTCTACTGCCGACACCCACCCTCAGGATATGTCCAAGCTTGAAGGCTGTGCTGCTCTGAGAGAAGCCCCCGCAAGGGAGCGTGGGGGAGCACAGGTGCTTCCGTTCAGACTGTGAGGGGCTGTCACCAGGCCACTCCTGACCTTGCTGAGAGCGGGGGTCCCTATGGCAAGCGGGGCCTTGATCTGGCCCTAGCCCTCAAGTAGGGTGACCCGCAGCTGTGGCGGGAGACAGTGGGGAGCCAGACAGCCTCTTGGTGTCTGGCTTGGTGTTGCGATGTTCCAGTCTGATAGCTCCTGCCTGAGGGACTTTCAAGTTTCATAGCAACTCCGTTATCAGCAGTATACACTTGCTCCTGACAGGGCTGAGAGTTCTGCTTCTGCTGCAGGAGGTGGCCGGGAGGTGAAGCCTCGGCAGCGCTGCTGGGCCCCTCACTGTGACTTCGATTGGTACCAGCGCCTCCCCATACCTTATCTCTGATGACCCTCTGGGTACTGCTGGGAGGCGGGCACAGAGGGTAGTAGCATTCCTGTTTTTAAGTGAGGACACTGGGTCAGAAGAGGTGGAAGGGCTTACCCAGGGTCACACAGTCAGCTGTGAGGTGAGAGGCAGTATAGCCTGGTGGTGAGGGCGCACGCTTGGGAGCTGGACTGCCTGAGTTTGAATCCCAACTCACCACTTACTAGCTGTGGACCTTGGGCATACTTAACTTCTCAGTCCCTCAGTTTCCCCCTCTCAAATGGAGGTAATAGACTCACCTGATAGGGTTGTTGTGAGGATTAAATGAGTTAATACATGTAGACATTTTCTAAGTGCCTGGCGTACGCAGTGAATGCTCAGTATGTGTGGGCTATTGTTGTCACTGTCATCATCATTGTCTCTCTGGAGACTGAGAAGAGAGTGCCCCTCACTGTCATACTCAGGACCCTGGCAGGGGGCAGTTATCTGCCCAGAGCCATGCAGAGCTCAGGGATGTGGGAGGGTGGGAAGAGAGACCCCGAACTCACACACCAGACTGGGGTAAGGGCTGGCCCTGGATCTTGCACAGGACCTCGGGCATTGGGGGTGCCGAGACAGTGATGGGCGGTGGGTGTGTGGGCAGCGGGGGCTCTGGGTGGGTCTGGTGGGGCACGGGCTCAGGCAGGGTATGGGGCAGGACTCTGGAGTTGGGTTGGGGTCAGGAGCTCAGACCTATGAACTGCACTAGCCTGGGCTTGGCTGAAGGGATGGGGGACATGACTCAGCCAGTAACAGGTTCCAGGGCTCCTTCCAGGCCTGGTCTGAAATTGCTGGCCAGGAAAGAAGCCTTGAAGAGGAGTGCAAGGGTGGACCCCGGGACTGAGCGGCTGGTTGATTCCAGCCTCATCAAAGGGTGGTGGGGAGGTAGACTTCCTGCCCCAGTCGTACTGGCTTGGGGACTTGGGGGATGGGTATTGGTGACCTTGGCTGTGGGGAGCCAGGGATGGCAGAGGCAGCAGAAATGCAGCCTGGCCCCTGTTGATGTGCTTCTGTACTGCGTCCGGGACTGGGCCAGAAGTTGGGGTGAGACGTTCCGCCTAGGTTTTTCAGGCTACGAAGCCCCTTGTGCTAAGCTTCCCTGTGGGGAGGGCTCCTAGTGGTGCCGAGGCAGCCGTGCTAGAAGCTCCCTCCTGGAGCTTCCGTGCAGCCCCTCCGGTCACAGGCTGCCTGGACACCCACCACCCTGGGCCCCACTTCCCACACCCAGTGTCCATTTCTGTCTCCCTGTTGCTGCTTCAGGACACAGAGATCCGCAACAATGCGGCCAACTACCTCCCCCAGATCAGCCAGCTCCTCAGTCACGTGCCGCGCCAGATGCTGCTCATCTTCAAGACCAACGACCTGCTGCGCGGCATTGAGGCTGCTCTGGGCACCCGCACCAGCGCCAGCTCCTTCTTCAACATGTCACGTTGCTGCATCAGAGCGCTGGCCGCGTGAGTGGGCTCCGGCTTTTCCTCTCCTTCAGACTCCCTGGCCTGCCCAGGGGTCCGCTTGCCGCCACTTTCTCCACCAGGCCCCAGGCCCCTGCCTGAGCTTCCCAGTCTCCCTGCAGGAAGTTAGCGAACTGACTGATGCCTCAGAGCGGTGTTTTTGGGTGGTCCAGAGAGCCACCTGTACTTGTTAAAATGGTAGATTCTAGGGCCTCACCCTGCTGGTCAAGCTTTACCCTTAGTCAAGTTTGAAATGTTTTCTGAGAGTCTCAGTCCCACCCAAGTGTCCCCTGGGCTTGGGATCAGGATGCCCCGATGCACGTCCCACCTCTAACTGGTCCTGGGACCTGACTCGTCAGGATTGGCCAGGCAGCAAGGCCAGTGTCCTTTTCCCTGTAAGTGTGGCTGTGACTCAGGAGGGTGTCGCCAGCAGGCTCTCTCGGGATCTCAGATCTTTTTAGATGCCTCATCACCCTCAGGGTATTGATGAGGAAGGAAAGGGTGCTTCCTTGGGGAGGTAGTGGCAGAGGAACGAGGGTTCTAGGTCCTTCTACCTAGAGGGTGGAGAATACACGGGACGGCCCATGCTGTGGCTGCACGTTCTCACCTGAGACAAGAGGCCTGGACTGTGGTCATCTCCGAGCCCATCCATCCTAGGCAGGGAATGGGTCATTCTGTAAACTGGTGAAGGAGAGTTGACCGCATGTATCATGCACCCACTATCAAATATCGAATTAGATTACGGCAAAATAGACTGCATGAGGAAAGGGCTGAATGTGATTTATTCTTCCTCTGAGGGTTCAGGAAGCAAAGTCTTGAATAGGTTATCACCATAAACGCCAATTTTCATCATGTCCTTTCGTTGGTGCCAAAGGGATTGAGCTGGGCTGAATCCATAGTGGCCTCAGCCTCCCAGGATCAGCTGACCAGGTTTCCAGTGACTCTTACCCACAGAAAGTTTGGGAAAGCTTTTATATTTGAGTTTGGGGGATTCTGGATTGGCATATATTCACTATACTTTTGGAAAAAGGGAAACATTGGGTTATTCTACCCAATGGGTCCACTAGGCCCTTGATGCCCTGTGAGACAACAGCTTTTGCTTAGCCTGCTTATCTGGAAAACTTCTTTGGAATAGTTGAGTTCCTCTGGTCCCCGACTGGGCAGTGGTATGATCACGTAACCAGGAGTTGTCCACTGGGGCAGGGAGCTGGTGAGTGGGCAAAGCCACCATCTTCCATTTTTCTAAATGATACTGAGTGTTTCTTGCCTCTTTGTCTCTCTATCTCTTATTCTCTCCTTCCTCCTGTAGGCACAAGAAGAAGAATACCTGTTCGTTCTTCAGAAGGACCCAGATCTCTTTCAGCGAGACCCTCAGCTTATGGCAGATCAACCTTCATGAACTCATTCTACGTGTGAAGGGGCTGAGGCTGGCCAGCTGGGTCTTGGCCCTGCTTTCCTGGCTGTTGCCTGCTCCACTCTGAGGGGACTTGCTGCCCTCTCCCCCTGTACAGTGTGACCCTGTGGTGGGCAAGGGGTCTCCCTCACTCCTCACTCTTTTGGTGTGTCTCCACCCAGTTGCCTCGTTTCTGCCATGTGGTGGCCTGGACCCCCACGGTCACTATGCACAGCCCCACGTACTCCACCTCTGGAATTCCTCTCCCACACGGTAGCCCTCGTCTCTGGGCCCACAAGCTGTGCTGTGCGATAGGTTTCTCTCCTTATCCAGGGAGAAGGTCCCGCAGTCCACTTTCCCTCTCCTGCTATGTGCCGTTGGGTTGGATGCCCCCCCACTTCTGTTAACCCTTCCTGTTGTTAGGATGGACCATGAATCCCACTGAGGGCATATTTAACTTACAGGAAGTTTGATTTTGTTGGAGGGGCGCATGGGCTCTGAGCTTGCTAGAGGACGGCTTCTCTCTCCCTGTCACCTGTTGCCCTGTCACTCCCCAGAGGTGTCACACCTTAGCGAGGTGCTTGGCATCTGAGGCATGCTCCGTTGTGTCATGATAACCCCTTTGGTGTTTTGTATACTGTATTTCAGTAAAAACTCCTTCAGGGTTACAGGGCAGGGCTTGGTCGGTGGGATTTTTGTTCTAGGTTGTGAGTGCATCCACTTTGGCCATTAGGTACGAGTGAACCTGGATGCCATGTGCCGTTGTGGTCTGCTTGGCTTCTTGCCCCTGTATCCTTCCAGCCTCCCACTATGGGGCCGCTTCCTGCTCCTTGTAGGTTCTCTGCCTTTCCAGGACTGAGACCTTGGTCAGAAGAGTTGAGGAGCTTAAGGCCAGGGACTCAGAGGCCCAGCTGAAACTGTGGACTTTGGTTCCCGTGGGTTCTCACCTCATTCCCTGTGGCCTGGGCACCTGTCGTGTTCTGCTAGTTGCCTCCTGACTTAGCCCTTTGGCTCGTCATTCGATGCCCCCTGTCCTGGAGACTATAGTCTAAACCTCAGTCACTCTGAAACCTCCTTTTCCCCTGTCTGGATTCTGTTCTTCCACCTTATTGTCTGCGGCCAGCCTGCCCCTCCCAGCTCTATCATCTGCCCCTGTTTCTGGGACAGCCCCAAACTCCACTCTAACTGCTGGATCTGTGCTCTCCAGGTGCCCAAGACCTCACATTTGGCAGGTCCTGGCTCTCACGGAGCTCCCATGCTCACAGACAGTGATTGTATTTGAGTCTCTCTGACCTTACTTCACCCCATTCATGGGGCAGAAAAACCTCGAATTTGAGTCTCATTTTCTGTTCTCTTTATTCATAATACAACAAGCAGATTTTCCACTGACCAGAGACGATTGCAATCCCTTTATTTCCTGAAAGAATTAATTGTTCTTAGTGACCAGTTGGATGCACCCAGGGACCTGAGAGAATAATTTGCAAGATCTGTTATTAATCATGGAGATGCATGCTGCATATTATATTTTATGGTGTCTTTTATAGGCGCTGAAGTAAATATAAATGTCCTTTGTGTTCAAGGTAATGGTTACTTGCTTTTCGCTTTTGGTTTAATGGTTGGCTTCCTGCTGGCCTGGGATCTAAAACATCAGCATGTTGCCAGTGGGCCCAGCACCCAGAACAGATATCCAGGGAGAATAGAGAGGCTGGCAGAGTTTGGGGTACAGGGCAGTTTGAAAATAGGAGGGGAGTAAGCTGATGATAATTGAGTTCCTTCCACATGTGAGAGAACATCCTAGGCTCTTTGTAAATAAGTGACATCATTGAATTGTCCCATCAGCTCTAGGAGGGGGAGGGTTATTAGCTTCATCTTACAGAGATGGGAACTGAGGCTCAGAGGGGTTTAGTAATTTGCCTGAAGTCACACAGCTGCTAAGTGGTGGTCCATGCTTTGTTTTTTTTTTGAGGAACATTAACCCTGAGCTAACATCTGTTGCCAATCCTCCTCTTTTTTGCTGAGGAATGTTGGCTCTGGGCTAATATCTGTGCCCATCTTCCTCTACTTTATATAGGACACCGCCACAGCATGGCTTGATAAGTGGTGCGTAGGTCGACACCTGGGATCTAAACCTGCGAACCCCAGGTTGCCGAAGAGGAGCATGCGAACTTAACTGCTATGCCACCGGGCCAGCCCCCATGCTTTGTTTTTTATTCCACAGTGCTGTAGAAATGGATTATACTTGCTGTTTGGGCTGTCGTATGTGCCTGAATTTGGGTCTCAAACATCCTGATTTCAGAAGAAATTGGATTTTCAGTGGAGGTGGAGGAGTGGTTGAGTAAAGGAGACAAAAAGTCCTGGAAAATGCAGACAGTCCAGCATTTTCTCTGGGGCCCAAGATAGGATGGACGTGGACCACTATGATCTGCAATGCAGTTCTGACACTGACCACCCAGAGTTAGTGCAGACTCCGCAGGCTTAAGGGCACGGTTCCCTGTAAGACTGCCCTCACTTCAGACACAATCTGTAGGTTTGGGGGTCCCCAGGCCACTTGCACTTCTTTTTTTTTTCTTTTTTGTGTGAGGAAATCAGCCCTGAGCTAACATCCGATGCCAATCCTCCTCTTTTCTTTTCTTTTTTTTTGCTGAGGAAGATTGGTCCTGGGCTAACATCCGTGCCCATCTTCCTCTACTTTATATGGGACGCCGTCACAGCATGGCTTGACAAGTGGTGCGTTGGTGTGTGCCTGGGATATGAACCTGCGGTGTGCCGAAGCGAAGCGCACGCGCTTAACCACTACGCCACTGGGCTGGCCCCCGCCCCTTGCACTTCTAAGCAACTGACTACAAATTCTGAGCTTCCCCTAACCCCTTCAAGTTCAATAATTTGTGAGAATGACTGATAGAACCCAGGAAAGCACTTTACTTGTGATTACAGTTTTATTATAAAGGATACAAATCAAGACCAGCCAAATGAAGAGATGCATAAGGCGAGGTCCAGGAGGGTCCTGAATGCAGAGCTTCCATGTCCTCTCCTGTGGAATCAGGGCACATCACCCTCTCAGCATATCAATGTGCTCGCTGAGCTTCAGTGGTCAGAGTTTTTATCAGGGTTTCATTACGTAGGCACGACTGATTGAACCATTGACCACATGCTTGGACTCCATCTCCTGCACAACCCCCCTCCCTGGAGAGGTAGGGTTGATATCGCCTCCATCCTGAGTCATCTAGTATAAACTCAGGTGTGATCCAAGGGCCACACCAGGAATATTAAAGATGCTCCTATCGCTGAGAAATTCCAAGGAGTTAGAGGTTCTCTTCAGGAACCAGGGACTAAGACCAGAGAAATTCTTTATTATATAACAGTCACTCTGGTGTCTTCTCATCCTGTGTACTTGGCCTAAGGTGCTTCTCTATCCACTGACCACTGGCCTGTGCCTTCTGCTCAGCCTTGGTGGAGCCGTCTCTGGAGCCCAGAGCTATAGGAGGCGATTCTCTCCTGGTGTTTATTCTGCAGATCTTAGGTAGCTTTTGTGAGCTTCTGTGTGGGACCTTCGCCCTGCTCCCTTCTCTGTCCTGTGGAACTTGACATGAATTGATTTGGGTTTGGTGCTTCCCCGTAAAATCCTGTGACTTCTTCTCCTTCAGTGACGATGTGTCAGGAAGGTGCCACCAGCTTACTCTGAAGGGTGTTTTCTCTCTCAACGCTGGCTGCTTAGTCAGTTTAGGTGTTTGCTTCTTTGATTTGGGCAACATGGCTATTTTTCCCCCCTTCCTCTTCCTCTTCTCAGGTGGAGAGAGGAATTCCACATCTCTGGTGCATTTGGTCTGGAACCTCTCAGATATAAGCCTAGCTCATAGTAAGTGCAGGTGTCCTGGCTTATAGAAAGTACTAAATAAAGGCAAATGTTTAGAATCTCAGAATACTTTGTTGTTTTCAAGGATGTTGAAGTCTGTGTATTTCAAAAGCTGCACATGGCATTCATCCTCTGTGAGGAATGCTGCCTTGTTTGATTGTCAGGTTAATTTCTGCAGCGTTCTGAGCCCACTCCCTGGATCAGAGTTTTCAGCGTTACAGGCTGCCCAGGGCACTCCTGCCACAGCTGCAGGGCTCCGAGGATGCGAGCATCTAATGACATCTGAGAAAACAGAAGTGGCTCCAAGAGGCACCCAAGCAGATCCTCAGGGGCAGGACTTGTTGGGATGTTTAGAATTACCCTCAGTGTGCACAAATATGAGAAGAGTTAAATGGAGCTACGCAGGGTGATGCTTGGGGTTTAAGTGGTCTCGAGGTACAGCCATGAGGAGCTGGGGTCCAAGCTGGGAACTGGTGATTGGGCAGTTCTTAACAGACAGGACAAACAAAGCCACAGAGAGTGGTGTGTTCCTTGCAGCCTGGCCTGTTGGAGCGATGACGTTTGTTGGGCTGGATTGGAAGGGCTTTTATTTAACAAGAGGCCTTGAATGCCAGGTGACCTGGTGCCACTGCTACTAGTTACTGGCCAAAGGGGCACTTTGGGAGGCCTAGTCCCCTAACCTTAAGTCTGCAAACATTTTGGTAAAAGCCCATTAGTTAAAAAAAAAAGCCCACTGCTCTCACCTCCTTTCCTCCCTCCCTCTCTCGCTGCTTCCTTTCTGTGAAGTAGAGCCTCTTGTGAAGCTGCACAGACTGGCTTGACTCTCCTTTTCTAAAGGAAGGACGAGGTCAGCCCTCAGCAGAGTAAATATTCAACCTTGGGCTGTGGCTGCGATGCCCATCTTCCTGTGGTGAGTGCCTCCTGGCCTGGTGTCTCTGGAGGCTGCCGCAGCCCGCACCGGCAGCTGGCTCCCCTCCCAGCCAGGTCACCGTGCCCCTGGACTGCACGTCCGGGGCAGAAACGCTCTTTCTGCTCGGTTCTGCCTTTGGCTTAATAGTTGCATAGTTCCTCTGATGTTTCTTCCTATTTTTCTCTTTCTCATGTGTGAGAGGGCAGGCTGGGCTGGTGAAGTGGTGAAGTGATGGGTGTCAAGCCACTGACCCCTACCTTTTTGGCTCCCATTTCCTCATCCCCTCTCCCTGCACTTTCATTCTAGAGCAGTGCTTCTCAAACTTTCGTGTATAAATGAAGAACCTGGGCTCTTGTTAAAACACAGATTCTGACTCAGTGGGTCTGGGTGGGGCCTGCGAT